GTCAATTTACCAGAAGCCATACCCTTAAATCTACCTTTCCCTTCTGCAGAAGACAACTAACTGTTAATAACTTCTCAATTAGGCTAGGTTGGAGGTCATGAGCCCCTGCCCCAACCATGCTGGAATGTTGACTGGCTTTGATTAATGGAATGTTGTACATGTCTTACATAGGCAGCTGTAGCTGCTTTGGATTCATGAGTACATCAGTTGTATCATATCCAAGAGACACTTTTTGCTCCAGTCTTCCCAACCCCTGACCCTTACAGTAAGTAATTCTAGCCCATCTCCCTCTATGGTCCATGAGACATGGGGAGAGTGAGTGGTATAAGTGTCTCATTTATGATTGAGCATTCCAAAGACACTTCTTCTCTGAACTTTGACCAGTTGAGAGTTAATATGGATATTAACTGATGAGGACTTGGAGTAATTTGAGTATACAGATATGAATTTAAAGGACACTTATCAAAAGTCAAGCACTCTTGTCTAGATGCATAGTGTCCTAATTCTTCAGGTTCTAGACTTAAATACAAAGCAGAAACCTGTCAGTTACCTCCAAGGCATTCATGCCACTTTTGAACTCTTGTGTATCTTACCATGCAAGTCATTATTGTAGCTCATGTAGTTCATAGCTAGGTAAGATTGTTGATGGCTTTTCTCCTCCAGTAAACTGCATAGAGCCTTTATACACACACACACACACACACACACACACACACACACACACACACACACACATTTAGTGTTACTTATTCGTCTCCAATTCCTTCTCTACTCTACCCTGTTCTCCACTTTAACCTCCTTCCCTATTTTCATCTTCATATCACCTGTGTTTTATACTTACTACTTTAGTAGTATCTTTCTTTCTTTCTCTAACTTACCAGTGGCTTTCCTGGGTCCACGTTAAACACAAAGACCTAAAAGTTTGATGCTAGGATTCACATATGAAGTAAAACATGAAACATTTATTTTTCTGGGTTTGAGTTATGTCATTCAGTGTAATGTTTCCCAATTTCATCCATTTACCTAAAAACTGCATAACTGCCATTTTTTACAGCTATGTAAGTAGCAATTGAACGAGTATATATCTCTGTAGTAGGAAATACAGGCCTTTGAGTATAGACCCAGGACCCATATCTGGGTCATATATGATAGTTCTATTTCTAGTTTTTTAAGGAACCGACAAATTAGTTTCCATAGTAGCTGCACCTATTTGCATTCCCACTAGAAATGGGTGAGTGTTGCCCTTTCCCAACACCCTCACCTGCATTGGTTGTTATCTCTGCTATTAATCAAAGCCATCCCAATTGAAGTGAGATGAAATCTCAAGTAGTCACATTTTTCTGATGGTTTGACAGTGAACAAAACAACAACAACAACAAAAACTATTCCCACTGGGCAGTGATGGCAAATGCCTTTAATCCCAGCACTTGGTATGCAAAGGCAGGCAGATCTCTGTGAGTTCAAGGCCAGTCTGGTCAACAGAGAGAGTTCCAGGACAGGCTCCAAAGCAATACAGAGAACCCCTGTCTCACACCAAGTTAACCAAAGTTAAATCAAGATGAAACAAACAATTTGAACAGGCCCAAAACACCTAGTAAAATAGAAGCAGTAATTAAGAATCACCCAACGAAAAAGCCCAGAGCCAGATGTGTTTAGTGCAGAATTCTACCAGACCTTCAGAGAACTACCAGAAATAGTTGTCAAATTATTCTGCAAAATAGAAACTGAAGGGACAGTTCTTATTTCTTATTATGAAGCTACTACACCCTGATACCAAAAACCAAACAAAGAACTAACAATAAAATAAAATTAAAGAGTAATAGCCCTTGTGGAGAGAGATACAAAAAGTCCCAATAAAATGTAAACTGAATTCAAGAAAACATCAAAAAGATTATCCACCATGATCATGTTGGCTTCATCCCACAGATGCAGGGATGGGTCAACATATATAAACCAAAAACTTAATAAACTTAATCCACTACAGACTGAAAATTGTCTCATTAGATGAAATAAAAAAAAAAAGGCCTTTGTCCAGTCATGATTAAAAGTCCTGCAGAGTCTAGGGATATAAGGAACATATCTCAACACAATAAAGGCAGTTTACAGCAAGCCAACAATCAGCATCATGCTAAATGGAGAGAAACTCAAAGCATTTGCATGGACATCAGGAACAAGATAAGGATGGCACTACGCCACTGTCTCCATACCTCTTCAATACAGTATTTGAAGTCTTACCTAGAGCAGTAAGACAACTGAAAGAGATCAAGGGGGATACAATAGCAAAGGAAGGAGTCAGAGTATGGTATGGTTTTATATGTAAAAGACCCTATTGACTCTGCTAATAAGCAGGATATAAAATTAAAACACAGACATCAGTAGCCTTCCTATATATAAATGACAAGTATACTAGCAAAGAAATCAGGGAAACCATACCTTTCACAATAGCTTCAAAAATATTTTTTAAACTACTCTAACAAAGCAAGTGAAAGACTTGTATAATAAAAACTTGAAGACACCAAAGGAAAAAAACTGAAGATAACACCAAAAGACAAAAGATTCCTATGTTTGTGGCATGGTAGGATTAATATTATAAAAAAGGCCATCCTATCAAAAGTAATCTACAGATTCAGCAAAATCTCCATCAAAATTCCTAAACAATTCTTCAACTCCATATGGAATACAAAAAAATCTAGGATAGCTAAGTCAGTCCTGAAGAAAAAACAAAACTGCTAGAGGTATCAACATCTTAGATTTCAGGTTGTATTTCAGAGCTGTAGTAATAAAAACAGCATAATATTTGCATGAACTGCACGTGTTATTTGAGTAGAATTGACAAGCTAGACATAACTGCACACCTACAGACACCTGCTATTTTGACAAAGAAGCCATACATCCACAGTGGAGAAAATGCACCATCTTCCACAAATATTGCTAGTCAAACTGGATAGCTACATGTAGAGTAATGTAAATAAATTCACATTTACTAATTTTGTACAAGGACCTCACCATAAGACCAGATACACTGAACGTGATGAAAGAGAAATCAGGGAAAGAGTTGAACTTGTTGGACAGGAAAAGACTTTCTGAATGGACACCAATAACATACTCACTGTGATCATGAGTTAATAAATAGGACCCTAAGAAGCTAAAAGCTTCTTACAGCAAAAGACACCATCATTTAAGCAAACAACCTACAGAATAAGAAAAATGTACCAACTATACATCTTATAGGAGATTAGTGTAAAGAAATATAAACAAACAACCCAATTTTAAAAAAAAAAGAAAAAAAGACTAGAGATTTCCCAAAGGTGAAACACTTAAAGAAATAGTCAACAACCTTAGCCATCAGGGAAATTAAAATTATAAAGGCTTTGAGATTTTTGTCTTGCCCCAGTCAGCAGAATGTCTAAGGTTAATAAAACAAATAGCAGGATATGCTGGTGAGGTTGAGGGGAAAGAGGAAATTTTATTCATTGTTAGTGTGGCTGCCAACTGGTACATCCACTATGGAAATCAGTGTGAAAGCTGAGAATGAATCTATTTCAAGATCTAGGTATACCAGTCTTGGAAATCTACCCAAGAGACTCAACACCTTTTTATGGAGATAATGCTTATCCATGTTCATTGTTTTCCTATTTGTCCTATTCAAAATAGCCAGAAATTGGAAACAGTCCATTAACTGGGTGGGTGATTAAAATGTAGTACATCTAAACAATGGAATTTTATCCAGCTGAATTTTATTCATTTTTATTTAGAAAAAATGCAGTTATGATATTTATAGGTAAATGGATGGAACTAGAAACAGTCATCCTGAGGAAGGTAATTAGACCCAGAAAAACAAAAATGTCACGTGTTATCTCTTGTGCATATTAGCTTGTAAGCTTTAGATATGTGTGGTTTTGACACAAATACCACAGAAATTAAGTAGGGAGATTAGAATAAGAGGGTTAAATGGGGGGAGGGGGATCACAAAGTCTAGCCTCCAGCTATGGAGCTATTGACAATTAAGTCAGTCTTCCTAAAGTTGTGGTCCTCAGTGGTTGACCATGATCCACTGGAAGGCCACACATCTAAAGTATAAGGGCAGCACAAACTTGTATGTGATGTTTTCTTTTGTTATTTCAAGATGGATGCAAAGTTAGGAATCTGAGGGGCCCTATAGAAGATGGGTTGATATGATCAAAATATGTTGTATGAAATTCTCAAAGAACTAATACAAATGAGAAAATGAATTGGTGAGATGGCTTGGCAGTTAAGTGTACTTGCTGCTCTTGCAGAGGACCTAAGTTTACTTCCCAACACCCAGATCAGGTGGCTCAAACCTGCTTACACCTTCATCTTCAGGGCAGCTGATGCCCTCTTCTGGCCTCTGAGAGCACTTAAACGAACAAACAAATGCAGGAAATTGGGTACCACTTCAAATCTGCAGAGTCAGAGCCAGCCAGCAGCTTCAAAAACTTCTGGGCATTTTGAAGCACTCTAGCCAAGGAAGTGGCCTAAGGTAAGTCATTGTTCACTACACCATCTCAGAACATACAACCTAGATAGACAAGGCAGGTATTCATTGTCATCTCTCAGTCTCCTTGGCCTTGTGTGACTGACTGATGAGCATCTCCAGACCACCAGACCAAGTGTGCCTCAAAATGCCCAGAATTTTCTGAAGATGCTGGCTTCCTTGGCCTGTACCTTACCTTCTCCTCAAAGCTGTACACTGTGCAAGAAGTGCCATACCACTGAGACAGATAAGGATCAATGTAGCAGCTTTAGAAAGCCCTCCCTGCCTTTTATGCCTTTGAGTGACCTGAAAAAATTTTTGCAAAGAAATCCAGGGCAGGCATTCCTACTTTCCTATTCAAACTCAAGCCCTTTCATCTATATGAAAGATCTGACCTTGTAAACACATCGTTTTCTAAGTGAGAACCTGAACCAGGGCTGAGAGGAGAGTGCAAGGTAGCTGACATTTAAGTAATGAAATTCCTTCTCCATTTTTTCCCACCTAGCTCAATGACTCTGCCAAGCAACTCATTGAGATGGACAAGCTGTGTCCTGCCGCTGTGACTGCAAGCAACTATGATGCCCTTTTGTCCTCTGACCCCAGCCCAGTTGCCAGTGTGGCCTCAGGTCCTACCCTCAGTAGCTCAGGGGCAGTCAGTGCCTTTCAACGACGTGTGGACAGCAAGAAGAATGCCAAGAAGCGCCATTCTTTCACTGCACTCAGTGTGACGCACAAGTCCTCACAGGCTGCCAGCCACAGGCACTCCATGGAAATCAGTGCTCCAGTGCTGATCAGCTCCAGTGATCCACGTGCTGCAGCCAGGATTGGGGAGCTTGCCCATCTGTCCTGCCCCGTACCCACCCAGGTAACCCCCAGAGCCCAGTCCACGGTCCCCAGGGGTCCTGTTCTACCACTATGCCTATCATCCTGGATTTCTAAACTCTCCCAAAGGAAACCACGCCAGAACTCCTGTGGGTGGCTGGGGCCTTTCCTCATGGCCAACCACTTGACATAGAGAGCCTTGTAAATATTTGCATATTGGCCTCCATGTTCTGAGGTAACTGCCAGTGGTTCCAGGATACAACATTGGAGTACCATTGAGTCATCTTGGAAGTTTCTCACTTGCTGGTATGGTACTCAGCATGCTTGTTCAGGGAAATGTCTTGGGTAGGACATTTTGAGCAACTCTATGAAGTACCTTCAGCAGAGAAAGGACAAGAACTGAGATCCAGAATTAGCTACACTGCTGAGTCCTTTACTGCTCTGTTATTGCTAGAGATCCTTCTATTTCTAAATGTAACTTTTATTACATTTCCACTAGTATATTTGTAGACTTGAGTGGTCAAAGTTAGATGCTTAAAAGGGCATAGAGTAATAATTGCCTGAAACTCCAAGAAACCTATCCACCCCACCTGGGAAAATGTCCCCTTCATGAATGCCAGGGAGGGAGGGGTGAGTTTCTCCTGTGTCATCAGATTTCCATTGAGACCAAGGAGAAGGTAATATGCCTTCTGGAGGTGTGGGTGCTGTCCTTCCAGTTCAGCATACTACAGACAAGGCTTCTGTGCACAGTTAGAGCAGGGGGGACGGCCAGTTCTTGCCCACTCTGCACCTTCCTTACCCCAGCTTTCCTTTCTCTCCAGGAGGTTGCGTACATGCTTCCAATGAATGGCACCAGTGTATAGGCTAGACTGAGGAAAGAACCAATAAGTAACTGGCTTTATTTTTCAAAGTTCCAGTTGACTTGAATAAATTTCTATAGAGAGTCATCTTTTAAAATGGACTGGAGAGATGGCTCAGCAGTAAGATCACCAACTGCTTTTGCAGAGAACCCAGGTTCAGTTCCCAGCACCCACATGGTGGCTCACAGCCATCTGTAACCCCAGTTGTAGGGGATCCAGGGCCACATTCTAACCTCCATGGGCACCATGGTACACATACATAAATGCAAGCAAAACAATACAACATAAAAAATGAAATAAAAGCATCTAATTTTTGAAGCAGAATTTCACTGTGTAGCTCTGGCTGGACTGCAATTTACTATGTAAAAGAGACTGGCTTTGAACTTATAGCTCCCCAGTGGTGGTTTCTATAGCCAGGACTCCTGGCTGAGCCTAAGAATATCTGAGTGTTACCTGAGGGTCCAAGGAGCTAGTTTTGCACTATAGATGTTTTTTTTAATTTTTTAATTTTATTTGTTTATTTAATTGCATACAAAGTTCTATGTATGCCAGGCTGGCTTTTAACTCATTGTATAGCCAGGAATAACCTTAAATTTCTGAGCTCCCTACCTCCTTATCCCTATCCCTGCTGGGATAATGGGCATCCTCTATTACCACTGAGCAAGAAGAAAGAATCATTGTTTTAAGAGGTGGGGGCAGATGGAAAGAAAAATGGTAAGGTTGGCTAAGGTCCAGGTCTTCAGGGCCTGGAGTGGGTAGGCCCTGATTTCAAATCCTTCAGGTCAGTATCAGGAATAGGAAATGCAAGGAGAGTGTGATTTGTGGCCCTTCTGCTAGTGCATCTTTAGAACAGCAGCTTGCCTCCTGGACACCAAATAACCAGATCATAAAATTCTGTAAGTTTGAGAGTGACTTATCCTGGAGTCAGGTCCTGAGAGGGGCAGGGTACTAGGAGCAGGGACAGCTGGGCTGACCATAGGGCTCCCTGTGCTGTTATGGCAGCAAGAAGCTGTGGTTTGGCTGCTTGCTCCTCCTGAGGACTTTGTTAGACACGAGGGTGGCTGAGCTGTAGTGAGACACAGATGACCCCTTCCCTACTCTGCCTGCTAGTCCTGCTTCCAAAGACCCTGTCTGTTCCCCTCTTGCCACTCACATGTTGCAGACTCCTTGTGTTGGATGTGCTGAGCAACCTGCAGCCAACCTCTGTATCACCTCTGTTGCTAAGATCACAATGCTTGAGCATTGTTCATCAACCTTTCTGATTCATGTCAGCATTCAACACTGCTAACTCTACCTTTGTGAGTGCCCCTTCCACTGACTCAGCTAGTCCAGCCTAAGTATTCTCCTACTTGTATCTCTAGCCCTCACATAAGTATGTGTGCTCTTGCCTTCTCTTCCTACTATATACACATTTGCCTGTGGAGTGTTGTACTTTCCTAGGGCTGCAGCCAACAGCTCCACCTTTGCTGTCTAAACTCCTGTATGTAGTTTTTCTTTTTTCATTTTTTTAAACTACAGCATGATGGCTTCATTTGGAAAGGTGCCTCAACTCAATAAATACTAAAGTAATTTCCTTTCTACATATCACTCTATGCCTCTATTCCATATATGGCTCTAATATATATGTATATGGTTTTATACAATAAAATGTAACAATAATAATATAATGTAAAACCAGGACTCTCCAAGCCTCTGCTGGAGGTGAGTCTGGGACCAGTTCAGGTCAAATCTCACACAAACACTTCCCTGGGAACTACCTGGGTTAGCCCCAATCTTGCTCCCTGCTATATCCTGTCCCCAGAGAGAATACGACTTCCCCACCTAGAACCTGCCCTCCCCACACCCTATGTCCTACTGAGCCCATTGTTCCACTGCTCTGGTTGAGCACTGGGCCAGAGAGCAGGTCCAACAACCCCTCCACCTCCAGGGAACATCCTGGATCTGCTCTGAGCACCCTAGACCCGCCTATCCATTCAGGACCGCCCTGAGTCCCTGCCTGCCTGATCTTTGACCCCCATGGCCAGGCCCATGCTGGAGGAGAGACCTCCTAGAGAGCTTGCACCACACAGAGCTACAGACATCAAACTTCTGACCTACCAGGAGAGTAGCATAGAGAGAGAGATTCCACCCACATATATAAAAGAAACACTACTAAAAGTTCACATAAAACCTCACTCTCACCACTAGACAGGACCACCAGACAGAAACTTAAGAAACAAAAGAACTAACAGAAGTTATGTCCCAATTGGGTTTAACAGTCATCTATAGAACATTCCATCCAAACACAAAAGAATATACCTTCTTCTCTGCTCCACGTGGAATCTTCTCTAAAATCAACCACCTACTAGGCAAAATAACAAACCTCAACAGATACAAAAAAAATTTGGAATAGTCCCCTGTATCTTATCAGACCACCATGCTTTAAAATTGGAATTCAACAACACAAATAGCAGAAACCCTACAAACTAATGGAAACTGAACAATGCCCAGTTGCACTATGCCTGGGTCAAAGAAGAAATAAAGTAATTAAAGACTTCCTAGAATTCAATGAGAATGAGGACACACATACCCAAACTTATGGGTTTGGTATAGCAGTGCTATGAGGAAAGTTCATTGTACTAAGTGCCCATGTGAAGAAAACAGTGGACAGTCACATTAGAGAATTAATAACACAGCTGAAAGCCTTGTGTGTGTGTGTGTGTGTGTGAGAGAGAGAGAGAGAGAGAGAGAGAGAGAGAGAGAGAGAGAGAGAGAGAGAGAGAGAGAACATAAAAGAGGGAGCCATTATAGGTTTGAAGAGAAAACTGACTCTAGAGAAATGTCCAGAGACCTACAAGACTGACCACAACTAACAATTTGAGCAACAATTTGAGGTTGATGACTAACTTATACACCATCATAGAGCCTTCATCCAGTAGCTGATGGAAACAGAAGCAGACACCCACAGCTAAACACTGAGCTGAACTGGAATCCAGATGCAGAGAGGGAGGACAAGACCAGGCTACAGAAACACTCAGAGACAGCTGACTTGAACAAGGAGGAGCTAATGGGCCCCCAGACTGACAGCTGGGAATCCAGCATTGGACCGACTCAGACCCCCTGAACATGGGTCTCAGTTAGAATGCCTGGGCAGTCCTAAGGGACCTCTGACAGTGGAACCAGGATATATCCCTGATGCACAAAAGGACTTTGGGAGCACATTCCCCATGGTGGGATACTCCCTTAACCTAGAGGCAGAAGGGAGGCCTAGTCCCTACTCCAAATAACTTGACAGATTTTGTTGACCCCCCCTCCTGGAAGGCGCCACCCTCTCTCTGGAGTTGGGGGGGAATGGGATGGGAGAGGGAACTGGGATTGATATATAAAATAAGAAAAATAAATAAATAAAATTTAAGTGTGTGTGTGTGTGTGTGTGTGTGTGTGTGTGTGTGTGTGTGTATGTATGTATGTATGTATGTAAAACCAATATCCCATCTTCCAAAATGCAGATTCCTTGCTGAATCCCCCTCCTTTACACCTCTGGAGATAATCCCATGACATTGGGAAACTCAGCCCCAGGTTGCCTTTCTAACCCCCACCAATTAAGCCCGTGTTCCATCTATAGGCCCACTGCCCAGCTAACCTACACCACTTAGGAATTGATTCTCACTGTCACTTGTCTTGATCACCCACTTAGTGCTAACCCACACTCATAGCCAAACTCCCTTTTCTGGTAACAATTTGAAATGATCATGCTATCTCTGTGGCTTTAGTGTCTGTGGATCACAGATTAATTCCTGTATTGCCACCAGACTTCCAGACTTCCTATGTCTGCTATGGAGCCTGATTTGTGTATACAGCTACCCCTCTCAGAGACCTACCAGACCTTGAGGGCAGGGTCTGAGTGCCTCTGTGGCTTTGTCCTGTGCCTGGCTCATACAATTTAGTTTCCTTCTTGGGTGAACCCTGTGAACTGTGTCAACAGCACTGTGTAGTGAAGGTCTTGTATGTAAAATAATGAGGTGCATAAAATTTGGCGTACCCTTCTAGGAAAGGACAGCTCCTGTCACTCCTAACTCACCATGAGCTCCAGGTCCATTTTGATGACTATGGAGAGGACACAGCTGTGAAATGTCTAGCCTAAGACTCCCAGAGCACAAGCTCAGGCAGACACTCAGATGGCCATCCTGCTCTTATTTGTACT